TCTTTCCCATTGAACTTCAAGGTGAAGTTTTGCACTTTCTTTGGCAGGCACATTTCAAATACTGCTGTCTGTCTTTCAGTCACTTTCAGTGGTTTCAGTTCTGTCAGGAGTTAGGAGCTCACCTGTTAAATACCAAAAAGACAAATATTCACTCTGTTGTGCTTAATTCCTGATCTCAGATTTCCTACACTAAATAGCTAGACTTCAGTGAAGTAATTTTGATTTCTTTCTTGAGTGGCAGCAGAAAGACCAATTCATTCCTTCAACTTCAGTGGAAATTAAGCTAACTACAGTTCATAATGTTCAGTAAAAGTTGCATGTAATCCTACAAAGCTGATTACCAACAGAAACACTGCTTTTATGTTCAGTTCTTCTGTCTTAGCTCTGCTTTTTTTTTCCTCTCCTTTACTGTAGGTCATTGTAAAGTAAATGGCTTCAGGCAACTGCAGATGACATCTAAAAGCATACCTGGAACCATTTGGCAAGCTGAAGGAGGACTGACATATTCCTGCATTATCTGTCAAGAGTGCTGCAGTGCCTGGCACAGGATCACTATTTGGCTTAAATAAGGTAATCTACCGCACTACCAAATAGCCTGTGCCCAAGCCCTACTAAGGGATTTATCAAAAAGATAAGTATTATACTTAAAGAATAGTACTTATGGCAAAACTTATCTTTAACAGATGGTCCTACTGCAATAAAAGGTAAGGCAGGTGGGCAGCATCACTTTTACTTAGCATTGATTTCAAGCAAGTTTGCTTTATATAATGTGGTTGGTTTTCCTTCAAACAGCAGGCACACATTTGGCTGGCTGTAGAAAGCATATGCAGATGAAAAAAGATTGTTGTCATTGTGCCCAGGCCCATTCACTCACTCCCAAGTCCTGTAACATTGTTTGAGCAAAGTTCACTTCCACTAAAAGGACAGTGCCAAGGTGCATTTTGCATTCCCATCTTTTCCACTAAAACTGGTCCAAATTCAGTAGTGACTCACACCATTGCCACACTGACGTCAGTGGGGAATTTGGCTTATTATGTGTAATAACTAGGCTTCAAACTGAAATCTGCTATCTCATGAAAGGTCTTTTCACATGGGCGCTCTGGTAATTGTGGGTTGGTTTATGACTTGTACAACGTTAGATTTCTGTTTGAGCCTAAAAAGACCAGTGAATCATGAATGCTGCAAAGACATATAAGGAAAGAAAGTAGGCTTTTCACAGTTTGGCCCACCAATTTTGACCCTCAAATTTTTGTCTGCAGATGTTGACATTGTACACAGAACCTCATGTATCCAAGAACAAAGATTACCTATCACTCACAGCATAACAGAGAGTTTCTTCTCAGCCACATTCTTGTAGGTGCCTAGGTCTTTCCCATTCACATTGGTGATGCACAGCATGTATTTTGTACCCATATGCTTCATTTAATTTTTTTCTCAGGAAATACAGGGAACAAAAAGGCTTTCCCCCATAATAAGGACAATGCTTGCACCTTTGAAAATATGTTCTTTTTGTGCAGTGGACACAGAGGGCAAGACACATAGTGCTCAGTTTAAAGTCAGCAGTGGATAGATTCTTGCATCCTGCTTCACACCACTCTACTTAAAGCAAATTTGCCCTGCAAAGACTCTCCATTTTGTCTATCTTAAAAATTCTTCCAAGCCTAGTTGTTAATAACTGGTCTGATCACTAATCAAGCCAGACCTCTAGAGCTTACCTTTAGTCATGATCAAAGATACTGTGTAGATAGCATCGGTGTGGGTATCGGACACTATACACTTGTAGTTATCTGTATCATCTCAGAAGAAGCATTCAGATTGGAAAGAAAAAAAAAAAATCAGAGAAAGCAATAAGTAAAAGCTCCACATAGGCTGGGGTGGTGAGGGGCAGATATGGCAAATGCATTAGTGAATTCCTCTTTTTATTTGTGTTTAAATCAGTATTTCTTTCATCATGAACAGAATTGACCTGTTATCTTTGAGGGCAGAAATTTTGAGGCCAAATCCAATGCTCCTTCCTCCCTAAAGATCCCTCACAGCCTTCCCAAAGCCCCAGAAAGAGACCGAAGTCTTCCCTCTGAGAGAGATGTATTTTGGATCAGGTCTATTCTTGGCCTAAGACAGCAAAATTAAGCCACATTTCTTCTGAGAGACATCCTTTTATTCTGGTGCTCTGCATTGAAAGTGAATATCACCCCTGAACTTCATAAGCAATAGAGACCAGAGGAGGGTGAATGGAAACTGTTGGACTTAAGACTCTGGTGTAGGAAAAGAAAAAGAGTTTGACCCGCCCTGACTGGCAGGCTTGTAAACAAAGGACTGCCTGAGAGAAGAGGTGAATTAGAGTGAACTAAGTATTCAGGAGAGAGGAGAGAAAGGGACAGAGCAAGGAAAGGAAGAAAAAGAACAGAAGGAGGGCAGAACTTCTGCAGCCATGGGACGTTTCAAATTAAAAAGGGCTGAACTGGGACATGTGTCTTAAATATTATGAATTATTAAGATGTAGCATTGGTTTTGCCTGAACAGCACACAAGAGGCATTAGGGCCTCACTGTGCTAAACACAAAACCAAATAACAAAAATAATGGTTCCTGCTCTGATGCTCTTTTTCTGTTGATCGGAAACACTGCCATATAGACACACAACGCTATTTGAAAGTAGCAGTATTGCAGTAGGCCGACTGCAAATGGGGACATTTTTATTGCTGCTGAGGAATAATATAGTGCCTAACTATTTCTTTTTTACAGTTTTTACTGTGGAAATAAAAAAAATGGGCCAATGGTAAGAAAAAAAGGTGTGTTACCTTAGCACATACTTCTTAAAAATACTGTCAAAAACATTCTGGATCCTTCTTCTGTTGGTACCCGCTCTCTCTTTTCCATGTTGCATTAGGCTTTGGTTTTCTTTTAACTTTGGGTCAGAATATTGTTTTGTCTCCTAAAATTCCAGAAGAAACATTGGAATTAATGAATGAATGAGTGAAATCAACAGGGGCCTGTTAGCACTTTCTCTGTTTGGGTTTATTTTAAATGCATGGTTTCTTTTCCTGTCTGCTTTATGGAGGAGATTAGATCAACCTTGCTTTACTTTGCTTACTGTATTTATTACAACTTTACATCCATCACAGATACCACTCTGGGAATGAAATCTGTTCATTAGCAGTGGTCTGCACACTGACAGGAATGATTTGTGATTTTTTTTTTGTGATATATAATAAAGACTCATATGATCTTTCTGTCACTTTAGACAGTCACTGATCTGTCACATGGGAGAGATTGTACATGATGGAAAGGCTTATTTACTTATGCATTAAAGGTCACATTCTTCCAGCTCCAGCCAAATCATTCAATCATGAGTTTTGCATAAAGAAGAACTGTTGTATTTAAATCAGTAAGGACAGGTTTCCAGCAGCTAAAACGAATAGCAGCTTTCCTACTGATTTTGACTGATACATGACAAATCTCCAAAAACAGTGAGGATGGGCAGAGGGAACTCCAGTTTATACCTGTTTTTGTTTACCACTCTTCCAGTTGTAGAACATGATGGACCACATTTACTGCATGAGGTGGGTGAATATACTTAAGAGCACCTGAAAATGCAGTCAGTTGTTGGAATGTACTAGGTAAAGAACTGTCTTTCACCAGAAATTGTTGTTACTCACCCTCGGGTGTTGCCAGTGGACAAGGTTTTTCCACAAATTCAGGAATGCTTTCTCCAGCAAGGATCTCAAAGCTCTCACCATACTAAAAGACTCCAATAAGGCAGAAGACTTCCTGGAAACAACTTCTTCAGTTGGGGGGAAAAATACGTTAATCAAGCAGAACAGAGAAGTACTGTTTGAAGGATTTATTTACTGGGAGTGGGAAAGGGTGGACTGTCTTTCTTTCCAGTCTTTCTGGGGGATTTTGGGCAAATAATTTGCTCTCTCTGTACCTGTCTTGTCATCTACACAATGGGAAAATTGGGCTGCCTTGCTGCACAGGGGTGCTGCAAGATGCTTAGATGTCATTCAAGAAAGGTATCAAAACTGAACGTACAGAAGGCCCGTTAGGACTTACTCTGTTCTGCACAAGCTGTACTAAGCTCCCGAGTGCTGCTCATGCCCCCTGTTTAGACAAATGCCCATAGTTTAAGACAAATCCTCCTCCTTTAAACTGTTCATTTCAGGAGGCTCCAGAGCGCTGCATTTTTCTATCAGAATGAACCCATTTAGTTTGTTTTTGTAAGGACTAGTTCTTCAGTTCAGGTAAAACTCTATTTTTATCCCAGCCAGACTGACCAGTAAGGAGCTGGCCCTGAATACTCATTTCTAACAGCTCCATGCAAACACCTCACTGGTACTGAGATGTTTTTCTGTGGTTAATCGCAAAAGGGTTCAGTTTTACACCAGGAAAATCAACAGAAACTCTACTACCAGCTTGGATTATTCTGGCTTATTCATTTAGACTATTTCATTGCACTTTTCCTTAATCAAGGACCTCCCCAGCTCTCCTAAGTGTATCACATACAGTGGGATATGTGAATGCTACAAGGATCCGTGCACACTTTGCTCTTGGTGGATGTCACTGGGAAGTGTGTCATTGGCCTCACTGCAGTGTCAAGGCAGAACCAGTAAGGAGATTGCTTTAAGCCAAGATAATCAAAGCAAGACAAAATGTTTCTAACCAAAGGCAATGGCTGATGCAGGGGCAATACCCGTAGTCTTGCAATAGCAGGTAGACCACGTGCTGGCCTTTGAGAAGAACAAAAATACTCACTTCCCCCTCAGCAGAAGGCAAACCCCACTGCACCAATGCAGCCCACCTTTTGTCAGCTGGTGGGCATCACCTAGGGAGGCCATATGATGGGAGAAAATTCTGTCACTGTATAGCCTATTTCCAGTGGGGACTCTGCTGCCTATGGCTATGCGAAGACTGGTCCCAGTATGGAAGGCAGTTTGGAGAAAAGGGGCTATTCAATTCTAGTCCTTGAGGGATCAGTACTAGTCATCTAGAAATTGTAGCTCCCTAGTTTTAAAAAAAGTGTTCCTTGGCAAGACAGATACAGTAAGGAATGGTATGACACAGTTGAGTGCTGCTGAAGGATCTTGGGTCAGAAAGAAATCAACCCAAAACACAAGCCTTTCCAAGATTTGGGGGCACAAATGATAAAGCTAATTATGCACTGCAACCTTGAAGATACAGTCCACAGGGAAGACAGTGTTAAGACCATATGACCTTGAGACCTTGCTTTGTTGCCAGCAGAAGTTATAGCTATGCCAAAAGTGCTCTGTTTTGGGCATCCTCCCAAGGAGATCCTTTCCCTTATCAGAATATATATACCTTGGTCTCCTTGCTGAGCTGGCCTTTGTCTCCAGCCTGCCTGCACAACGCATGTTCTCCGACTCCTTATGCACAGAAGACAAGTGAAGAGTCTCTATTCTAGACTATATATCTCCATATACTGTCTAAAATTATACAGGGATATCATGCATCTCTAGACCCTGTTATGTCTTTCCTCCTCTGCTCAGAAATTTTCTCTCAGAGACACAATTTTTAAAGTCTTTCCTACAAACCAAGAAGCCAAGAGATCACTTTTGCTTTTGCCTGGTCTGCCCAAAGGTGTTCCCCCACCACATTTACCATCTTCTCTCACTGTTCTGTTCTCACCCTTTCACTCTTGCATACCAATAGTCATTGGTGTTGGTGACAGCAATGACTGAGGCTGATTTAGAAGAGACAAGATGTTACTCCCAAACACCCTAGGAAAGAGCATATTTTGCCTCAGTCATTATGGGCCAAATCCACACCAGTAGCACCAAGTGCTAAAATGAGAAGGCATATAGTATGCTGCTTTACTCACCTGCTCCACTGCACAACTCTCTGCATACCTTTGGATTTATTTGGATTTTCAAATTCTGCAAAGCTCACAGTGACACAGCTTAAAAGCCAAACCACCATTTTAACAGTTCCTTCTTTCACCTTAAAAATGGAATTCCCTTTACTTGTATTTCTTTTACCTGATCATAATTTTCATCCTTAGCCACAGATTTACTGAACACAAAAATGTTACAAGTTAAGATCCAGTAGCTTGTGCTAGCTAAGGAGCAAAAATGGTTGGTAAGAAACAGATTTTTTCTAAACTGCTGGGCTATTACTTTTTGTTATCCTTCAGTCAGGAAAGCAAGCACTCTGTTAGAAAAATTGCCCTTAATAGTAAGTGATGAGCTTTTAGAAGCCTTGTCAGATTACAAGATTTCCTGGAACCGACTTCCAGAGCCCAAAAGGTTGCACTTGAAGGATGTGACATTGTCTGTTACTGCCCATCACCATGATTCAACTTGCCCATACCTTGACTGTGGGCATGAAAGAAAATAAAATGATAATGCAGACAACCCTCTGTGCTTAGGAACACAGATACACCATGAATCAACCTGCAGGTACTCTGCAGAGAGATTAACTTCACTCATCACATATAGTGTGGCTATCATGCTGTATTTACTATGGCTGCTATTAACAGAATCAGCGCACGTTTACAAGGCAAACCAGATCTCAAGAAAAGACTTGTCAGTACCACTGAAGTACACGCAACAAGGATTTGGTGCGAGTGGTAATTTTAGTTTCAGTTACAGGAGAGTTGGACAAGTTTGACTAATTCTTTTGTAGGTAACTGAGTCTTCCCTTACACCATACTTTTCACAGCTCTTTTACTCCAGGTTTTAAGCGTCTCAAGGAGTTATACTTCAGAGTGGTACTTCACAAAGTTCCTTTTGTGGAAAGGGAAGGAAAGGAAAAGCAAAGCAGATACAAGACTAAAGCTATTGATCTCACACAGCCAATTTCCACCCTGCCTGCCCACAGCCACAGAATACAAAGTCTTAGGACATTCTTGAGAATATATGTTTATGTATATTTTACCTTTTTTTCCCAGCTGCTAAGGTCCTGATCATTCCTACTAAAGAGACAGGAGCTTTCAAGACCATTACTGACCCTTTTGTGTCCTTCAGCTCACATGAAGTCCTGTAGATTGTTGCATTCCTAGGAAGATGCCTGGGTCCCTTTACACTGGACAAATATGGCTTTGAGTAGTTCAAAATTTAAATACATACTGGCCTCTTGTGGGCTATGTTGTTACATCCTTTACACTGGCTTCAGCAGTTTCTCATTCTTGGAATAACAGGACGATAAAACTTCAAGTATGAGGCTAAAAGGAGTAAACCTTCTGTAGGCCAAAAGGATATATTTGTATTTAAAAATAAATATTATCTCCTGAATCCCAGGTTTTCTTATGATTGATTGTTAGTTACACCATTTCAAAACTCTGATCAAAGGCAGACTATTAAACAATATATCAGTCTTGTTTTTCATATTAAAAACAAAATATGTGGGTCCAGGTTTCAAACAGTTAAACATTCAACAAATTCTGCTTTGGTGTTTAAGTCACCCCCCAGTGCTCCTTTCATACCTCAGTGAAATGGCCAGGCTTTGGCTTTATTTTTAAGTTATACAGGCAGCAGTTTCCACCATTTCCAAGTCCAGCCAGTTCATTCGGTTACACAAACAGGGACCAGGCTCTTTAAAAAATCAGTTTACAACTTTAGATTATAAAGGTCATTCTTTAATCAGTTCTCTTCTACTCCTTAGTAAGTCTGAGATTCTGTCACCCTTCTTCATATGGAGAAGGACTTCATTCCCAATGAGTAAGGTACTTCTCAAGAAGAGAACGAATTACAGGTCTCAGCTTGCGTATTTAGCTCTCTTTTACTTTACTAATGTTAACAGCAGCAGTGCTGAAACAGTGCAGGTACAAGAGACCGTTTTACATGTATACGGGTCTATCCATTCTGAAGGACACCAACTACATACCTTGCCTGCAACGAAGGCTGAACTAGTGGCAATAAACTGCTTCTCTTAACTGACTGCATTTGATTTCTCCTTGGAACAGACCGCTGCTATCTATTCTGTATTTATGTTAAATTCAAATGAAAAGGGAGTCTAGTGCAGGAGGCACCTAGCTTATCCTTTGCAAAACACAGGAACTTAGAAAACCAAAGAACATAAAAATCTAGCCAACTTCCAGAGGCTGACAGGAATAATTCTAGGGTAAACTCTGGAAAAAGCAATGGCAACCCTCCCCTCCCCCCCGAAATATACCACCTTTCCTGATGATTTTAAGATGACTTCTGCTAGTCTAGGAATGAAAGAGGAAGGTAAAAAATTTAACAAAAATAAAGAAAAAAATGTGCAGAGGTTGAAACATTGTCAACTTTTCCAGTGAGCAAAAAAACCCATATACAGACAGCCAAAATAAACACATGCTGTAGTTTACAGGCTAAAGGATTCCAGCAAGACAGAAGCTCTGTGCTCCCTTCTCTAGAAGTTAATGTGCTTATTAGCACAGATGCATTTATCAAATCAGAAGTGCATGGAAATGGGATTGGTCATGCTGTGAAGTGGATAAGGTATTATTTATTGCTTGTCTAGTAAATCTATCAAGGAACCAACCTTCACTTACCTCTTCAGTATTCTAATTCAGGAACAAGAGCCCAACTTAGATACCGAGAAACCTGGTATCTGTGCTGGAAGTCACATTTTCCCCAACAAAAACAAAACACTGCCAACCCAATCCAATTCCTCCCACCTATCCAAACTGACTCAAAAACCAGGCAGTCCCTTTCCATGTTCATTTCACAGTGCTCATGAATCCTCCCTCATGCTTCTGTTTTTACACCAGCTACTGTGGCACGTTGAGTGGGCATGTGCGTATGCACTCACACTGCTGTGGGGGAAAACCAATGCATATGAACAAGAAGATCTTTCAGTTTGGATCATTAAGTCCGGCCACACTGCCAGATGTAGGCCTCAAAAAGGGGAGGAGTGACTCTGAATGATCTCTTCATTACCCTGACCTTTGTGACACCTGAGTGTTGGCTCTTCATATTCCTCACAACAGCCTAAAGACCAAGAAGACAACAGTGGATGTAATGAAACCAATCACATCTGGTTTTCCTTCTTTTGAGACAAAAGGAGTCAAAGGTAATTTACAAGAGAAGGTTTCTGTTCTGTTGTGCGTTATTAGTTTTGACTTAATTCCCAACAGTCTTCCTTGTGTCCACTTGAGAG